AACAGTAGCTGCGGTTTGGTTTTCATATTGCTGCTCTCCTTCTTGTCACTTCCGAACTGACGGATTGCCAGATATAACAAAAAGAGCAAAACAAGCTCGTTAAAACAACAGTGTGTGCAGTCTCCGGTTGTGCAGGAATACCCTTCTCCGTTAAAAACACAGTATAATAAGCACATGTGGTAAAAAATATAATATATATTGTAATTATATTATAAACTGATTGATGAAGTAAAGCAATGCATGAGATTGAAAAATGATTTAAAGTTGAAATGCACCTATGAGTTGTATATCAATCTGTTGTGGGAAGTTCATCTAAAAGTGTTTTTTGTTTACTATATTTTGATATAAAAATAGTTTACCAAATAAAATAAAAATAAAACAAGGAAGGTGACGTACTTTTCATTTCTAAAGTATTTGGGTTTATTTATTATACAAAGCCCTTTTTGTCTTTTTTTTTTTTTTTTGAGGATAACTATATAAATAACTATATCGTGAAATATATCGTTACCGTGAAATAAAATTAGTCATATCGTGAAACACAATTTTGGTCATATCGCCCACCCCTACTGAACGGATAGCCTACACCTTAGCTATTTGCAGCTCCCTAATACAATGGCAAGCAGTTAAGTTTTATAGATGAGGCATTCGCGTTTTCCATTTGGACCCACAAACTTGCTTGGTTGCAAGCACAGGGCGGGGCACGTGAACTGCAGCATCTCCAGCAGCACAGAGCTGCCCGTGGCCGCCTGTCTATAAATAACGGCAGGAAAAAAAAAAACTATCGGCGAATGCGCAGCGGTGTATCGGCCGATTCGATACACGTAAAAACCTCAAATATCGGCCCGATATATCGGCTGGCCGTCTACAAACTGGAAGGTTGGTGGTTCAATCCCCAGTTCCACCTGACCAAGTGTCGAAATGTTGTGTTTTAACATATAATGATTATGTTAAAACACATCCAACATCATCAGATCACCTTTTCTATGTGATCATCTGGCTGTTATATCTCACGTATAGCCAAACATAATCTAAAGTTAATAATGTAGGGGTAAAGAGCGCAACTAAAACAAACACTCATCTCCATAATGGTGAGTGCTGCACGATTAATCGAATTTTAATCACGATCACGATTTTGGCTTCCCACGATCAAATTTGCATGATCGAGCGATATTTAAAATGTGTCATTCCATTCACAGAACGCTCAGTATATCAAAGTTGTTTTTTTTTTTTTGCAAAGCCAATCTAACGCTCCGTAAACCACTGTCTGATCACGTGCCTCCAAGAGCTCCAGTGCGCAAGAGAGACCGAGTGTGTCTGCGCGCGAGCTACAGAGAACAAGAGAGACGAGTGTCCAAGCTGGCTTCCGAGGATCCTTCCTTGACATTGAGAAACACCTCAAGTGTGTCTGCGTGCGAACGACACGGAGCGACAGCACGCGAGAGATACCGGTTGTGTCTGAGTGACAGTGCGCGTGAGAGACCGAGTGTGAGCATTAGTAAATTGGTCCATACATACTACATAGTAATATAGAATTACTATATAAGAGGCATGAAAGTTTGATTAATGGACTCCAATAATCAATAGGCTAATACAAACATCTTGTTTTGAACTATTGTTTAATAAATAGAAATAATTCGACCACAAACTTTCATATGGAGGATTAAATAGATTAAATGTATGCAGTAAGATTTCACAACTAATCACAGACACATTTTACATTACTTAAGTGTCAAATGACAATGACTCTGAATTTCATCCATTAATTGAACTTCCATGCAAAGTTCTGCCTTGACATGTTCTCATTTGGTTACATTATGTTATGGAATATTTGTTTTTTTATTGATTTTATATTTTGCGCATTTTATTCACATCCATTATGCAGGTACAATGCAAGTTTATATTTTGCTTCCTAAACTATATTTACACAATGTAAAATAGTGCCCTGTTGAAGTTTTGCTACATTTTATTTATTGTTTTCTTTATTTTTATTTATTCTTTAAAGAGATGCACTGAATTTTGGGGAATGAGAGCCTGTTTTATTTTAATGCACATAGTTGTACATTAGCAGGAATGTAGCACAATATGGATGTGAAAGCAGTTATAATTAGCCTATGTGACAATAACATTTGTTTTGGTTAAAATAAAAAAAATAATTGTGATAATTAATAGTGATCTCAATTTTGATCAAAATAATCGTGATTATCATTTTGGCCCAAATCGAGCAGCCCTAGCTGCAACAACCGATTATTTTGATAATCGATTAATCTAACGATTATTAGAACGATTAATCGACTAATCGTCGATTATTTTGCCAGCAAATCATTAAGTTTGGACTGATTATTCAGCTTTTTCAATTAGTTAAAATATTGAGTTAATAATGTAATAATTGAGTTAATTGAGTTATAATATAAAAAAAGAAAATCAGTTCAGCTTTTGAAATAGTGGTTTTCATGAACTTAGAGCCAACTAAACAGGTCATTCTCTATAAGTTTAACTCAAATCACACACAAATGCTCTCTAAGCATTGTTTAATAAGCCCACTGCTTTTCATAGAACTGAAACAGAAAAAAAATGGTCATTACTTCAAGACACAAAAAGGGTAAAATATTAATCTGCAAACCATTAATATTATAGAATTACAATATTTTTTTTGCATGATAATTGAGCTGACAGGAATAATATCATGGCAGTTACTTTTTCTTTTTCATTCTGTAAATTAAAAGGTGAATGAGAACATCTCTAATATCTCCTTTTGTAAGTCTTCATGATTATGGAACAAAATACAGGCGAGTGATAAGACTATAATACCGAAGTGTTACAATAATAAAAACAGCCCTGACTCCTAAGCTCAATCAAGCTTCATTCTATGCAAAATAAGTCATCACATTACTGTAATTATATTATTATTGATGATATTATTACTATTAATAGTATTGCATGATCTAATAGAGATACGTTACCACTACAATTAGTTAGCTGCAGCTCGAGAACACTCAGTTCTCACCGGCTTCTCTTTTGCCGGGATGTTTCCTCTTTAAGTGCTTCAACATGCATGTGGTGCTCCCATGAAAAGCAAGTTCTGCCTTGCATGTATTGCACACGACAGCATTGTTGGTTTTTAAGTTTTGTAAAACTTTGCCAAACCTTGCTAATTTGGATTCGTTTCGCACTCCGTCATAATTCGCGCTGTTTTTTCTTTTACCGCACTTGCATTTGTAAAGGGCTGCATTATACTCTAGCGCCAAAGCGGCGTAGCAGTCAAATCGTGATATTAAACACCCTTACATTAGGTCACGTGAGATCAAACGACTATTCGACAACAAAGATATTTGTCGACAATTTTTTATTGTCGACGTTGTCGACAATGTCGACTAATCGTTGCAGCCCTGTGACTTTAAATTCTCCTTCAGTGATTCTGCTTGTTATCATTAGGTGTCTTCAATAATGCTCAATCATCACTGATTTATTCACTTAATTGTCTCATTAACTTTAACACTGCTTCAGTGTTCATTTAACACTCAGCTCAGAGTTTAATTGGATGATTTAAAATGACTTCCATGACATTGAAGATACATGAACAAATTATGTTTGTTTAACGAAACCCAGTTGTGTGGAACCTGTTGTGTGGAAAAAGCCAACACATAATTTTTTTTGAGTGCATTAAGCGCTCTCACTTCCAGACTTTGGTCTGGCGGCAGGCCCACTTGCAGCAGTCAGTTCTGCCACCCCCTGAAACCATGGGATGGAAGACAGAGGGAATTCCCTTACTACCTTACTGACTGTGAGGAGTTAATCACCTGTGCCTGCACCACTGGGTGCAAGACAGCCCGATGCGGCTGCAAGCCTAATCCGTGCACTGCATCCTGCAAATGCAAAAAGTCCAATGATACTTGTATGAACGAATAACATTTGGAATATCTGTGATCACACTATTGTTGCTTGATTTTGTTGAAATTTCAGAGTTTCAGCAGCCATTTAAACATTAAAAACAGTCCCTTTCATGTTAATGTTGTTTTTTCATTGTTTACATGTTTAAATATTCTAAGAATGCACAGTTTAGTTCGAATGTTTAATGTAAACTGCAATAAATGCATAAAATAATAAATAAATAAATAAACTGCAATAAATGCATTAAAACATAATAAATGCTTTAAAAATGTTTAAATGCTTTAAAAATGTTTAAACTGCAATAAATGAATGTTTTTTTGGCAGCCATTTTGCTTTTATTGTTTATGCCAAAACAGTGATGTTTACAACTTGTTATACGGCAGAAATGGATTCAGCACCTAAAAATCATAGAAACAACACAAAGTACTTTCTCAAAAATGCCTACTGCATCTTATCCATGGCTATTTATCTATTTTGGGACTCAACTTTTATGACCAATGTAGTGATCAGGGCAAATTTACACAAACAATCGATTATAATCAGGCATGTGTGATCTAACACAGGTGGCTTAACAAATGCTTTTTTTTTTATTAAAATGGTGCAAATAGCAGTAAATTGCTTATCGCAAACCTTAGTAAATCATAATTTACTTAAAAACTCTGCTCCCATAAATATTGCATCTGAAGGGGAAACTCAAATACTGCATATGCAAGGTTAGATGCAAAAATAACTGTTCACACCTTATCATTACTAATTTTTCTACTGCATGTCCTATAATTGATCCTGACAGTAGTTTAACATCAAAAGAAGGTTTACGCTGGGTGTCTAAATTTGTGTGTTGGGCTAAATTATCACTGTAGTTGTGCTGTGCAGAGAAAAAGATAGTACCTCGTCAGCAACAGTGAAAGTGTACAAATTCCCTCAAAAAACAAAAACAAACAAAAAAAACATCTGCTTTCATGATGTTTCATAGTTAATTTCACTTGTTTGCAATTTCTCAAAAAAGTCTTAAACATTAAATTAGCTTACAATGTCTTATTTACATGAATCTTTGCCCAACTGATATCTTTAGTACCAGCTACAATACATGAAAAAAACTGTAGCTACATTACCTTTATGTACTTGTCCTTTTTCATAGTTTCCGGTTTGCTACACATTTCATAACTCAATTATCCCATAAGCTGTGCTTTTCTTCCCTTTATTCTCTCCTGCAACTGAAATAATGCAAACAAAGAAAGTTGAGTTCAGAGGAGAGCTGCACACAGCACAGCAGGTGTGCAGCAACACAGCTGAGCAGCAGACAAGAGCATTTCTTGAATGTTTGGTCAACCGTGCAACATTTCAAAAGCATACTTTATTGTGGAACTTTTCTCAACTAATACAAAGAAAGGTATAGAGTGTAAAAAGTAAAGAATTCATCTTATTAAAGAATGCTTTGTTAGTTTAGCAGGGACCTAGAGTTCATTGCACAGCCACTAAGTACAATTTCATACAGCTCTAGGGATGCACGTTTTCACCTGAAAGACAGCTTTTACATTTTAATACTTTCTACCAATATTCTGCCAAGCCCTGCCATTTGAATTTAAAAAATCAGTTCTGTTTAGAGATAAGCAATGTCCAATCTACATATAAAAAAATAAAATTCACATACTTTTTAAACCCATCTGTCTCTTTTCATTACCACGTTTAGGGTCGGGGTCAGGTTTGAGAAACTTCTGTATTTGCAGCTTCATGTTAACCACAGAGGGTGACATTGGAGAGGAAGCCGTTGATGCCTTTTCGTTAGCAAGACTGACTTTAAATGAGCTTTTACGTTCCTTCACTTCAGAGAGAACAGCAGAGCTCAGCCTAGTTTGCTTTCTTGGTTTCTTTACCAACGGCTTGAATTTTGCTTCCAACCTGGAAGACTGCGGCACCTCAAATGTCTCCACAGACAAACATTCAGGCCTTGATTCATGCATCTCAGGAGCAATTTCCTCCATCATATCCACAGGGTCCGATAAATGAACCAAGTCTTTAATATTAATATTTTCATGTTTTCGCTTTTTACTAGACGATCTCTTGCTTTTCTTGTTTGAGTCTTCTAGGTCAAAAGTGGACATGTGCACTGCTTCTGAGGTTGAACCAAACAAAATGACCCTCTGTTTAAGGGCATTGTTGGCTGGTGAGAAGATGTCTTCAAACACCTCATCATCTTCAACATCTCTAGGAAGATCACCAATCGAGTCAGCTGAACACAGTGCAGCAGAAGTTTGACGTTGACATTTATGAACAGGCTTAAATGTAACAGATCCATCATTTTGAATGACATTTTCATTTGATATGAAACGACTGCATCCTGAAGATGAATCCCTGGAATAGGAACGTTTAGAGTTGGTCTGCAGTTCTTTGGAGTGCTGTACACTTTTGAATTTTTTGTAATTTGTTTTTGTGAGGCTTTCAGGTTGGGAACTTTCACGTTTTTCAGGGCTGCTGGATAATGCTGTAAATATGCCAATGTTTTCAGTTTCTGGTTTGAGGTGTGAGCTTTGTTTTCTTTCAAAGCAGGTTTTATGAAAGAAACTATTTAAAGTGGACTGCTTCTTTCCTCCAGTGTAGTTCACTAAAGACTGTTGTGATCTTGAAGATAATGATGGAACATTAACATTACTTTCACCATTGGACGGATTACTCATGGTCATGGCTGTGTCTGATTCAGGAGGTGTGTGATCTATTTTACTTGTTATTTTTGTTATTGACTTATTGTAGTTCTGCTTCTCTTGTTCATCTCTTTTCTTCGAGGAGTGACAATGAGAGGTTGATAAACAATCCAAAGGCTCTTCTTCTGTAAAAAAACAAATAAAAATAAATTAACACTTTTAGTTTTATGTAATGTAAAATGGATACTATGGCAATTATTCCAATATCAAAAGAGACTTTTGTTTCCCTAACCTAGCTGTTGCAAGAAAGACGGTGCTGGAGATGCTCCAAGAAAAGTTCTCAAAGATGAATCATATCCTGAGCTGCTTTCCTGCATCTGTGAGGCTGGGGACAAGACAATTACATTTATACACAAATAAATAAAAGCCTGAAAGAAAGGTTTATTTGTACAGTATGCACTGATTCTGTAGGGTGTAACAATTAATTTATTTCTCAATGCATTTATAAAAAACAAACAAACAAAAAAAACAGGATTTGTGCAAACTATTCACACCAAGCTGTATTCAATGTGGGATACATTCCTGCACCCAAGAAAGAAAAAGGGAAAGTTTAAGAATCCTATCCACCTTATACTGCAATGTGGAAGAAAACTGTTCTATGAATGTGCGAACGATTCTTTAGACATTTTAGATAACTACAAGAATGAAAATGTGCAATAAACGGTACACCTTACAAACGGTACAAGAAACCAGTATTAAAGTGCCCCTATTAAGCTTTTTCGGATATAACCAATTTTCTTTCTTTTTCAAGATAATGTATATTATTGAATTTCTATTAAGACTGTTATTTACTGTTGTGATATAAATAATAAAACAAACACGTGTGTTAAACTGCACACATATAATCATTTAGACAGCACATTCTCATACAATCTGAAACCAACAGCCCAACAATTTAATTCATTCACTTTTTCTAACATTAAGTAATATGACAGTTTGTTCTATGCAGTATTTCTGCATTCCAGTATTATACTATATTATACATATTATATGTTATGTCTAACCAAAATATTATTTATTTATTTAATTTTAAATTAAACATTTAATTTTAATATTGTTTTATTTGTTTAAATACTTCACATTAGACTTTAAACGCAACAGTCCACACAAATACACCATTTAATAAAGTTAAAAGGCAACACACATATTATAGAAATAAATTATACTTTTTTAAAAGGGCTTAAGATAAAGTTTAAGCTGCAAATTATATTTTCACATTAGGGATGTTCATTTCAATTATATTCCTTGAACATCAACAGTCACTCATTAACCGTTAAAAGACAAGATTAGAATGTTTTTATTAGAGATGCACCAATTGATCGGCTGGTGATCGGAATCGGGCGATTTTCACATGATCGGCGACCAGCCGGTCAGTCTGACGTGCCGATTTTATGCCGGTCAAATGCACTTGAGCGCCGCATGATTAACGTTGCGCATCAGTATCACATGTGCATAGACTGCACACAGAACGCACATGTAGTAAACCTCGTGAATTAAGACCGTTTCACACCGCAAGCGGGAGCAATGCGTTTTTTTGTTCGTTGTTGTTTTTTTTGTTCGGCGTGCATGTTAATCATTGAGTGCATTCATACCGGGAGCCAGAAGCAGCGTGTAACGGTGCGGATCCACTTGTCTGTGCAGCACTTCTGTTGCGCCACGCCAGAGCCCGTCTAACGGAGAGCCTTGGCATTTCCTATTAAACCTATTGTGTAACATCTTGGTTGCAGTTCTATTGGAATTCCACTGGAGGTGATCGAGGTGGCGAGTGCAGAATGAATGGGAGTTTATGGGGCTAAACAGCTAAATGTGTCTTTCACCTGCTTGTCGTTAAATCAACATAGATTTTATTGCTGATTCCGCAAGTTCAATATAGATTATAGGCCAAAAGTCGAATGAACGAGTACTTATGTCATTTTGATTTCTTACAAGTTAGGCCATTGTTGGCCGGAACACGCTAGCATTCTGCTATTGTGTGACATCACATTTTTGAATGGATTTTTAGAACAGATAAGTGAACTTAAAAATGCAATTTTCAGCTGAGTGTATTATCTTAGCCCTCCCTTTTGAATGCAACTTTCAAATTACTTGACAAAAAATTACATCCTGAGAAAAGTGGATTTCTGGGGGTGAAACCCCATTGACTCCCATTCATTCTGCACTCGACCACGAGCGCCCCCGCATGGACAGAGACGTGTTACTGCAGCCAGTCCAGAAACCGGAAGTAACCAGCCAGTGGCAATTCTCTTCAATTAGACATTTTCTTGCCGCGCTCTGCTTTATTTCTATGGGTGACGTCACACGACTTTAACGCGCCCGCAAAGCGTCCCGGGAAGGCGGCGCTTCATTTGGAAAAATGCTGAGCGTCAAAAAGCTGGCCGATGCCCATTTTTATGCAAATGAATTCCGTTGAACGTGCCACGACTATCCAATAGTAGTAGAGCATATGGAGACAGGGGAAGTCTCTCGCAGGTCCTCTGTTCTAGACTGGCAGCTGGCTCAAAAGCACGCCCATAGTGGTAAACTTGAGGAACGCTCATCAAAGTACAAACGTGGGGTGGCGTCGCGACAACACGCGAATGTCGTGTCGGACAAGTGGATCTCTACCGTGAGCGTCGAGCAGGAGCGACGAGTGAGCAGCAGTGAAGCGCGGTTTTGGCGCTGAATCTATTTTTGCTGTGCTCAAGTAAAGTGAAAGCACACTTTTGATGGTCAAAATAAATAGGATTTCATCCAAAAAGTTGCATGTCTGGTGTGTTTTAACAAGAACTGAAGACTTAAGAATTTTTATAGAAAATATACCCACTTATTTCCCAATCATTTCTCTGCACATGCACATAGGCCTGTGTGTGTGAGAGAGAGAAATATATATATACTGCAAAGCTATTTATTTTAAATAAAATGCTATTCAATTTAAATGCTAAATATATAAATTTTTCCATAACACTGCACTTTAGTCGTGTGTGAATTTCCCACACCAGGAGTCAGTTATATAGTTCCATTTTATAGCAATTATCTGTTCAAAATATTCTATGCAAACTGTTCTTTTAAAGAGAAGATAGAAAATACATTTTTGTGTGTACTGTATAGTGGTTTGAAAAAATTAAATCGGAACAGGCTAACATCGGTATCGGCAGGTCAAACTCAAGGAAAAAGAAAAAAAAAAAAAAAAAAAAAAATCGGGATCGGCCTAGAAAACTGTAATCGGGGCATCTCTAGTTTTTATTAAAGAAAAAAAAAAATCACAAGATTAGAATGTAGAATGTTTTTTTTCAGGAGTTTAGTTAAACAATAGAATAATAGTTATTATAAAATGGTTAGTTCAAATCCTTGATTCTGATTGGTTAAGAGCTGTGTTTTATTCACGATAAAACACGGCTGAGACCGCTTCACCCAACGGTTCTATTGATCACTGCGCAACACTGCGGTTCTATGTTGTTTTTATTTGAGCTTTCATGCATTTTACACATTGGAACGTTGTTGCCGTTCACGCTCGGGGACTATTTTTTTTTTTCTAATGGAAGGAAGGCTTTTAGAGATTTTACTTCAAGAAAGTTGCACTAATACCTTGTTTTTTTACTTTAATATTGTGTGGCAACCGTTTTAGTTTAGTTTTATTGAAGTTGCATCTCATATCATATTTACATACAATGCAAGAGCAAATATCTTAGGTCTCCCCTCCCCTCCCGGCCAGCAGCAGCTTAAGTGCCTATATCCATAAGTTAAGAACACACACAGACACAGACACACACATACAGACCATCACTAACAACAATAAATTTACTGTAAATGTAAAAATTTTCTGCTCACAATGATTAAAAACACAGTATATTACTGTGGCAAAATAAATTAGGTCTATCTAATGTTAAGAAGCCTAATAGCTTGATGAAAAAATGAGTCTCTAAGTCTACAAGTTTTTGCTTTCAAACTGCAGTAGCGTTTGCCAGAGGGAAGCCGCTGGAAAAGGTTACTGTTGGGGTGACTGGGTTCCTTGACAATCTTTTGGGCCTTCTTCTTGCACCTCTCCTGGTACAGGTCTGCTATAGATGTAAGCTCATAGCCGCATATTTTTGGAGCAGTTTTGACCACTCTTTGTATTGCTCTGCGGCTGTTTGTAGTGCAGTTGCCATACCAGGAGGTGATGGCCCCTGTGAGGATACTCTCGATTGTGCCCCGATAGAATGCACAGAGAACATTGGGGGCCATGCCAAATTTCCTCAGACACCCAAGATGGAATAGGTGTTGCTGGGCCTTCCCCACAATTCCTGTAGTGTGTAGGTCCCAGGTGAGGTTATTGGTGATGTTGATCCCAAGGAACTTAAAACTGCTCACCCTTTCCACAGCATTCCCCTGAATCAAAGGAGTCAGTTCAGCTCTCTTCTTCTTCCTGAAGTCCACCACCAGCTCTTTCGTTTATGCCACATTTAGTGACAAATTGTTATCCTGACACCATTGTGTCGACACCATTGTGTGGGGCGGCAGTGGCTCAGTGGTTCATGTGGGTTGTCTACGAACCGAAAGGTTGGTGGTTCAATCCTCGGTTCCACCTGACCAAGTGTCGAGGTGTCCATGAGCAAGACACCTAACCCCAGCTGCTCCTGACGAGCTGGATGGCGCCTTGCATGGCTGACACCGCCGTCGGTGTGTGAATGTGTGTGTGAATGGGTGAATGTGAGGCAATATGTAAAGCGCTTTGGTGGCCATTAGGTCTATGAAGGCGCTATATAAATGCAGTCCATTTACCATTTACCATTGTACCAGGTTCTCCACTTCCTCCCTGTACAACAACTCGTTATCACCTCTAATCAGGCCCACTACCGTGGTGTCAGCGTACTTGATAATGAGGTTAGACGAGTGTAATGGTTTGCAATCATATGTGTACAGTGAATAAAGAAAAGGACTTAGCACACAGCCTTGGGGCGCTCCTGTACTCACAGTTAGAGGAGGTGATGGACCCCATCCTAACCACCTGACTACGGTTGCTTAGGAAATCCAAGATGAGATTGCAGAGGTCAGATGGAAAACCAAGGCTGCTGAGTTTTGTGACCAGTCTAGATGGAATTATTGTATTAAATGCCGAACTATAGACAATAAAAAGTATTCTGACATAAGAGTTTTCATTTTCCAGGTGCGTGAGTGTATTGTGGAGTACCGTAGATATAGCATTCTCTATGGATCTATTTTCTCGATAAGCAAACTGATGATGATCCAAAGTTTTTGGGACAAGAGTGCTGATGTAATCTCTTATAAGCCGCTCAAAGCATTTGCACACTATCGGAGTGAGGGCCACAGGGCGCCAATCGTTTAGACACATGATTTTGGTTTTCT